ACTGACAGTCTTCAGGTCTCCGAGGTAAGAGGTGTACTTTAAGAGGAACTAACAAAGAGGCTAGCGAAAGTGCGAAATGCCCCCCTCCAGCCGGACAGCATTCAAATTCTAATAAACATGAAGAACTCATTATTGTGAGAGTTTACAACTGTTGGGATTTAGGGCCACAATAATACGGAGTGAGACGCCACACTTACCGTCAGTTTATGCGCACTGCAAAGCGCTTAAAATCAAAAATGCGAGTCTCAGTATAGCTTTGGAAGATCCATGGAATCTGAGTCAACTATGAAAAACTAGCGCCAAATTGGCTACCTTCTGGAACCAAGCGTACATAGCTGAGAAGAACACTAGAGCTAAGAGCGCGCTTCTAATTCACGATCGGATCGCATGGATCGCTCGACCGAATCGGGAATATGAACGCGCTCTAAGAAGGAACAGGTGGGATGAGAGTCCAAGAAAGGTGGAAAGAACTTTGACATGGCAGAATTTTTCACGTCCACAATCAGAACAGAGCCGAGCTGACGTGAGAATGAGGATGAATCATAGAAAAGATACTGGTACAGTCTCGTTTGCTGCGGATGATGGGACGTGTCAGGCGGGATGAGTCTGGCACGGCGCCAGCCCGATCTCCACTAGTTGCTGGAGAGAGTAGGTAACAATAACTGTATGAAGGCGCTGCGCCAAACGCAGCCACGCTGACATGCGCCATCAGCTGCAGCGACAGAGATAAATCAATGGGGACGAGAAATGAAGATCTGACATGCAGTCTGCATTCCACAAAACATAAAATTCAATAGAACAAGCTGTAATACTCGACAGTTCTACCCTGAAAAATTTTGGCTCACTCCTAAGAGAGAAGGAAAGAATACCTTGGAAAACAGTGAATCAGCAATCTTTTCGAACTCGCTATTAATCTCATCTTTTTCCTCACCAACCAAGACGAAAGAAGGGTCGTTCCGAGAGTCTCGTCTTATCTGGAATCGAGAATACTTATGAAACATAAAGAAAACAGAGTATGACGGTATTAAGAGGGAAAGGGGCGCAGTTCGGCGACGGGGGGGGGCGGCATTTGGCAATTTGCTGCATCGTTAGTCAAACAATCAAGAAGCCTCACTCCGTCAAAACTTTTCAACTGTTGTAAGCTCATGAAATAGCTCTATGCTCTCTAGATGGCTCGACACGTCGATGGGAAATAACAAAAGTTCAAAAAAGCCCCCTCCCGGTCGCCGAACAGTGCAGGAAAAGGAACAAAAGCAACACTAACATCATTGATTCTCGCAGCACTGATTTTCTCTATAACTGGCGCTGAACTTTTGACGACAAAGTTAAACAGAGCCTCTTTGCTACGTTCTCCATAATATTCTATCCTGCGCCCTTGGCGGAAACTGTAAAACACTCGCTTAGTAATCGGTAAATAGTGACTGAATTACCAAAGATAACTTACAACAAAATCGTTGGATATCCTGATATGGAAAGACTATTGCATGCACTCGTGAACCTTGTGCAATCCATCTTGGCCACTCTCAACAGGTAAA